ACACACAGAGATCTTTCATTTAGGGTTTGTGTGTGTGTGTGTGTGTGTGTGGTTTGTTTTGTTTTTTTTTTTTTTTTTTTTTTTTTTTTTTTTTCCAGAGGGTCTTGGCTTTCCATGCCTGAAATACTCTCATGAGCTTTTCAGCCAGATCGGAATGCCTTTAGGGCTGATTCTGAGGCCAGAGTGCTGTTTAGGACATCCGCCATTCTATGAGTCTGCTGAGTATCTCGCTTCCCATGTTGGATCACTCTCCCCTTTATTTATTCTATCGGTTAGTATTAGCAGGTACTAGACTTGTTTATGTGCTCCCTTTGACTCTTGGTCTTTCATTATGATCAATTGTGAACTGAAATTGATCACTTGGACTAGTGAGATGGCATTGGTACATGCCACCTTGATGGGATTAAATTGGAGTCCTCTGGTATGTTTCTAACTCTACCATTTGGGGCAAGTCAGCTTGAGCATGTCCCAAATTGTACATCTCTTCCCTCTCTTATTCCTACTCTTATGTTTAACAAGGATCACATTTCAGTTAAATTTCAGCACTTAAGAATAACTGTGTATGTTTCATTCTTTATCTCATTGAGTAGCATCACAAGCTGTGCTGTTGGTCACGGTAGAAGACTGGGGTTAGGTTTTCTTCTTTTTTATCATATCAGTCAATCTTCTATGCCTACTAAATCAACCTTTTGAATATCCCTTCTGTATGTCTACAGTTCTCACCATGACCATTGCAGTCTTTCATGTGTATCTGTGTATCAGTATCCAAACTGATTTATGTGGTCTGTGCACCATAATATAACTAGAGCATCTTTCTAAAATATAAACTTTTCCATGTCTTTCTGTCAGTGGTAACTGGATGTAAGAATACCAGTGGGATCAATAAAAGTAGGTAGAGAAGGAAGGGAATGGCAGGTGGAAGCAAAGCCAGAAATACACGGCGGTAGTTTCATTGGCTGGTTTAGTAGTGATCATTGTTAGGTACCGTAAGCATAGTATTGTAATAGTATTAGATGTCTGTTAGAAGCAAAACGTCACTGTTTATACTATAAATGTATTGGTTCACTAAATATGTCTTTTCTTATATCTTAAAATACACTCTTTCAGAAGCACTGTTTATATTAATAGCATAAATAACCCAGATTAGTATACTCCGACTTTCCTGATATTCCTGTGAGTTAAATATAGAATTTATTTTACACTCATAATAATTTTAATATCTTAAATGATATTTAGGTATTGAATCATTCATTCCCTATGCTCATTCTGGGTCTGACATTCTAACTTTAAACAAATACTTTGTAAAATACTTTCAGATAATGACTCAGTCTAAGCTAAAAAACAATATAAGTGACACTTGGCTTTTAAGAAGTTTAATTTTAGAATTAACAAGTGAGAAGAGGATTCAGATGAACCTCTGTAACCCTGGTAATGTCATTATTGTTTTCTGTTGAAACACCTTGACCCTCAAGCAGTTACAGAATAGCATCTATATTTATTCTTGAGGTTTAAATATCCCCCAAACCTTATACCATCCTATCTTTTCTCTTTAATAGCCTCTTCTTTAAAATTTGTGCACACCTAGATTGGTTACATCTCCAGTAATGCATTGTTCATTTTTATATTTAGCCTTGTTTGAGATTAATGCCTTTTAGAACCAGGCAGGTGTAGCAAAGGGAGGTGGGGCAAGTTACAGGACAGTAGGACTTGCTAGGTGCAGTTCTAACCTCAAGAGCATAATTAAGCCTAAATGTGTTGCAGTTCATGAATTTTAAACTATTGTATGATTTAAGCAAAGCTTCCTTACATGTAAATAAGTCCTCATGATTGAAATAGGACTTCTGGTTCATGTGTTTTCTTTCTTACCTTCCCTGTAATGTTGTGGATCTTAGAAGTTACTTTTCCAGATACAGCTTTTTTTTTTTTTTTCCTGATAAATCCAGCAGGACAGAAGTGTAAATAATGTCTCTAACTTATTCTTCAGTTGTTTTTTTTGTGATTGTTTCAATCTCCAAATATCTTCTGAGTTTACTAAGTCATGTGCTTTGTTGAAAGCATTTAAATACTCTTACGGATGTAAGTACTGGACACCATGACTGGTGGTTCTTGGCAATCCAATCTAACATAGCAATGAAATTAGGATCTAGAAAGTAATTATCCTGCCCAAAGATCTCATCTGTGCTTTTGACTGGCCCAGGTTAGAGCATAATATCAGATTGTCTATCATTATGCCAAATACTTGCCCTTTGTTATGCAGTCCTATCACTAATATATCTCTTCAGCAGAGTTAGTATCCAAATTCCATAGAAGTGGAAAATGAGATTCAGGGAAAATAAGTAATTTACCCGACCTCCCATAGTTAGTAAGTGAAAAAATTTTAGTGGATGAGCCAGTACACGATTTTAAGTTGTAGTTTCATGATGACTATTTTTTTTTAAAGTGTAATAGTCCTGTATTCTTTTCATTTATACATGGGAACATTGTACCCTGTTTTTCAGTGTATAGTTTTTGCTATGACTTCTGGCCAGATGTGGAATCATATACGTGGACCTCCATATGCTCATAAGAACCCTCACAATGGTCAAGTGGTAAGTCTGCATTTTCTCAGCATCGATATTTTGAACTTTAGTCATGATTAATACACAGATCAAAATTATGCTTAGTATTTAAGAAGAAATTATTTTGTGTATAAATCAAAATATACTTCTCGTTTACTGCTTTGTCACACATGTAGATACACATCCACATATATTTGTAAGTGCACACACATAAAACATTTTTTTATTGTGAAGACTGCTTTATTGTTGATTTTATAAAATATCAATTGGTGTATCTCTCAAACCAAATATACATACATAAACTATTTTCAAAGTTTGTGTACTGCTTTAGAAATAAATAATGCCACAGAAGATAGGGACTGTGTATAGCTATTGTCCCATCAGTTGTAAACTTGACTTTTTCCTGAAAAATTAATTAAAATATCAAAAGAACCCTGGAAGTCACTGCATTAGAATGTTAGCAACTCTTTGTCAAAAAATTAAAAATGGAATTGATGTGTTTTTACATTAGTAGTGGAGTCCACATTATAATTGCCACTGAATTCCTATCACTAAGCTTCTTCGCTTTCCTTTGGGTGGATAGGAAATACTGTGATATGTATGACAAAATACTCTGAATCTCAGTATGAGGTTGATGAAGATGAATAACAATTTGAAAATATGTTTTTTTTTATAGTTTTTACTTTTTGTTTTTGAAAATACACAGGTGTTGAGAGGATAATAGGATGTTGTCAACTCATAACTGATCTGTTCCCCCAACTGCCCATCTTGTTGTTTTGAAAAAAGTGCTCAGTATCACTTCTTTAAATACATAAATAGTGCTTATGTTCTTCCTAGCGAGCTCTCCTGACTGCAGATTTTAAGAACCAATTGCAAATTATCAGTTGTACTCGTTAATTCTACACTATGATCAATTCATACTGTTTTGTGAATATTATCAGATTTCTCCAAAGATAGCAAAGATATGGAGTCAATGTTAAACCCTTTACTGTGTTTCTGAAGTCTGTCATTATCCAGGGAGAATAGCTACTCCAAAATATGTTCAATATTCAGAGTGAAGTCTAACAGTGAGAAAGAGTTGGAAGCTATTATAGAACAAAGTTATTACTATGCCCCCCCATCTTTGACTCTTCACACAAATTCAGCCTTCTCAACGAGACCGTTCCCTGACCGTCTCTTTAAAAGTCTAGCCCTTCCCTCTTGCCTGCCTTTCCAATCAACATCTCTTTCCTGTTATATATATATATATATATATATATATATATATATATTTTTTTTTTTGCATAGCACTTAGCAGTTTATAACCTGATGTATATTTACTTATTTGGCATCATTTTTCTGGTCTGCCTTTTGCCATGACCTCAATATTTAAACAACTCAAAGCATGGACTTTACCTGTTTTTGTTAATGATAGATTTCTATTACATAGAGGAAGGCTCAGTGCAAAAATTTTTATCTCTTTTATTTTAGTAAAACTCAAAATGTTAACTTATGAAATCTTATGAATTTTTTATTACTGCTATTAGTAGTCTTCTGAAGTAATATCCCTTGAGTTAAAATATATTATTAATCTTTGTATTCACATTATTTATAGTTTGCCAAAGTATATGAAAAATTTATCAACATTCTTATGAAATAGTTTAGCATGTCACTGTAGTCTCCATCTTGTATGTCACCCACCATTTGCTAATTCATAAGTCCTGCATGTACTTTACTGGAATAAGCTCTAAAGGTCTTCGTGTTGATAGTAACAGCAGATGCCATCTTTCAGTTATTGAAAACATATGAGGTATTGGGCTTTGCAGAGGATTTTTTTTTTAAATCATACTCTGATTGTAGCTACAATATTGATGTACATGGAACTGAGTTACCAGTTAAGATGGAAATCTGAAATGGTTCATTTTCAAGTTTATACCTCTGCTACTTTGCAAGAAACTAGCTGGGTGTTAGAGTGTTTGTATTGCTCCTTATCACCTAAACATAAGCTTTATTTTGCTACTCTTTCTTGTTATGCCCGTACTTCTCTCATATTGGACCCATCCTTCAGACTCACCTAATCTGCCCCTCCCCCTGAGATTCAGCCTTCTTTAACTACACTGGAATTTTAGCCTCTTTCTTCTTTTTATATTTATGAACATAAAATAATCCATTTAAGTTTCACATATTTTCTTTCATTGCAGTAATTTTTAAATGTTTCATATATCCTATGTGAGCCAAATTTGTAAACATAAGGAATATCTCTTTAACCGTTTTTCATCTGTACAACTTGTATATAGTTGGTCTTCAATAAATATCTTGTTAAATATGGCTCACTCACACTGGGACATGATTGTTTCTTCAGTTGGATTTCCTTAATTGCCTTTTAAATTTTTTTTCTGCAAATCAGAAGAGTAATAGGTCCAATATGTTACAATTTAGTTTGAATCTGTTATGAATCCTAATGTGACCAGATATTTTTAAAAAAGATTTATTTATTTGAAAGTCAGAGTTAGAGAGAGAGAGAGAGAGAGAGAGAGAGAGAGAGAGAGAAAAGAAAAGAAAAGAAAAGAAAAGAAAAGAAAAGAAAAGAAAAGAAAAGAAAAGAAAAGAAAAGAAAAGAAAAGAAAAGAAAAGAAAAGAAAAGAAATCTTCCATGGGGTGGTTCACTCCCCAGTTGGCCGCAATGGTTAGGGCTGGGACAGGAGCCAGGAGCTTCTTCCAGGTCACATATGTGGGTACAGGGGCCCAAACAATTGGGCTATATTCTACAGCTTTCCCAGGCACATTTGCAGGGAGCTGGATTGGTGTGGATCAACCAGGACTTGAACTGGCACCATGTGGGATGTGGTGCTGCAGATGGCAGGTTAGCCCACTGCCGCACAGCGCCGGCCCTGAACATTTATTCTTTAAGTACAGATTAGGGTAGACAGGACTTATTTATTGATCTAGAAATTTTTTTATCCTCTTCCACATTCTTATGTTACTGATTTGCAAAAAGCAACCATGTAACTCTTGAGAAAAGATACTCTGGCACAGAGAACATTAAGAAAATAGAATATTCTGTTCTTTTAAAAAGAAAAGTACTTTCTTCATTCATGTATCTAATTGTCAGATGTATTTATCTAAACTTATCAACACCATTGTCAATAATTACAGAAATTACAAAGCTTAAATCTTAAACGTAAGATACTTAAAAAGTTTATCAGCCTAAACTCTTCACTTCTTTATATTTTAGAAAAATACTGTGTTTTCATATATTTAACAAAGTTATTAGAATTGAGCTAAGGAATCATAGCAGTCTTAGCAATAGAGGATCTTGCTTCTATACAGAACATTGCATGAGTGTTAGGTGAGATATTAACTATAAGCGGTTGGACAAGGTCCTTGATATATGTCTACAGTAGAATGGTGTGGTAGAGCATGGCCCATAAGTAGATAGAGTTCTTTTCTTTTGACTGTTACTACATTTTAGGAAAACAACTCCTCCTACTTCTTTTTACATGCAAAATGTCAATATCTACAACAACAGGAAATTATGGTTTAAATGTTGTTTTGAAGAATTAATGCATTCACTAATGTGTCTTCATACTGAGGAAACATTGTAGAATACCTTTGCTTTATAATATGAAGATGGATACTGTCAGAGAATTTCTACTTGAAACAATGCTTGTCCATTAAAATGATAGTAGTTGGGGCTGGCATTTTGGCCTACCAAGTTGAGCCACCACCTGCCATGCCAGCATCACATATGGGCACTGGTTCCAGTCCTGGCTGCTCCACTTCAGATCCAGCTTCCTGCCAATGTGCCAGAGAAAGGCAGCAGAGGATGGCAGAAGTCCTTTGGCCCCACCACCTATGTGGGAAACCCAGATGAAGCTTCTGGGTCCTGGCTTCCGGCTGGCTCAGCCCTGGCCTTTGCTGCCCTTTGAGGAGTTAGTCATTGGATGGAAGATCTCTCTCCCTCTCCCCCGTTCCCTGCACTCCCCCTCTCCCCCCTGCGTCTCTCCTCCTCTCTCCCTCCCTCTTCCTCTCAGTAACTCTGCCTTTCAAATAAATAAAATAAATCCAAAAAAATTAAATTAAAAAAAACAATGAATGTTTTCTTTGTAATAGATGTATTTAAATTATGTGGTAATTGAATACTGTAATCAATACACATTTATTCTCAAGTGTTGAAACTTAAAAATAAATTTTTTGGTAAAACTTGAAAATTAACACTGTCCTTTTGGTTATTTCTTCATATTTTAGCACACATGCACACTCACACACAAATACTTGCATTTTTCTAAAAAGAGCTGTAAAGTTTTTATATTTTTTGAGAATAACTATAATGAGGCTGTTTATCACCTTCCATTGAATGGATTAAAATGACAAAAGGAGTATTTTATGAATATTGAAAGGATATTATAATATGGCATTAACACATGACAGATGTACACTTAGTGGAATAACATAGATGATAATAGGACTTTTTATTAGGTTGTCCAATTTTTTTTTTTTTTTTTTTTTGACAGGCAGAGTGGACAGTGAGAGAGAGAGACAGAGAGAAAGATTTTCCTTTTGCCGTTGGTTCACCCTCCAATGGCCGCCGCGGCCAGCGTGCTGCGGCTGGTGCACCGCGCTGATCCGATGGCAGGAGCCAGGTACTTCTCCTGGTCTCCCATGGGGTGCAGGGCCCAAGCACTTGGGCCATCCTCCACTGCACTCCCTGGCCACAGCAGAGAGCTGGCCTGGAAGAGTGGCAACCGGGACAGGATCCGGCTCCCCGACCGGGACTAGAACCCGGTGTGCTGGCGCTGCTAGGTGGAGGATTAGCCTAGTGAGCCATAGCGCTGGCCAGGTTGTCCAAATTTTTTAAATAAAACTGAGTAACCATTTATTTTAGTCTATGTTGTGCTGCTTTAGCAGAATGTTAGCTCCTGGGTAATTTTTAAGGAAAGAAATTCGTTCTCGTAGTCCAGAGGCTGAAATGTTCAATATCAGGGTGCAGGCAGCTGTCAGTGGCCTTCTTGCCACATCATCCCATGGCAGGATGCCAAGAAGGGGAGCGA